AGAGAGAGAGAGAGAGAGAGAGAGAGAGAGAGAGAAAGAGACAGGCAGACAGACAGACAGACAGACAGACAGACAGATGAACTGTGTATACTATGTTCAGAGCGAACTGTTTGGTGTAAAGTAGAAACACATTCAGGATAAGAGCAAAGAATGTAATATGGGCATAAGTGAACCACCAAGTTCAACAATAATTTAGAAAGTCTATTTGAGCATGAAAACGTAAATCGCTGTGATGTATGTCCTTCTCTTGGCTATTTGACTTCATGTCAAAAGTTATGAAGGGCGCTTCGTAACAATACCCTAGGAACGGAAAAATGTGGCTACCTCATCTCATCCCAGAAGCTTAGGAAAACAGATTAGATACTCCCCATCAAATAAAAAGTAGGATCACGTTCAGAGCACAGTGTCATCGCATCAAATCAACTCACACCGATTGCATTCCAAGGTCTCTCCCTTCAATACCCCAGCTCCCATCTCTCTCCTAACCCCTGCCCCTGCCCTCACCTCCCCCCCCCCCCCTAAACACATCGTTATCAATCTGTACCCTATACCCCTTCCTCATTTCCCCATTATAATTTTGTTCAATTCACAGGCGTGGCATTCTGGATAGTGAAGGAAAGAGAACCGATATGGCTCACGAGTATTTCATCTTGATGAGTGTTATTAACGAGAACTTGAGCTGGTACTTGGCAGACAACGTCGCGACCTTTGCACCCAACAGGATAGGCACAGACTACGCGTAAGTATTTTAACATTTCAGTCATTAAGTAATGAGGATGGCGACGACGAGGACGACGACGACGACGACGACGACGACGACGACGACGATGATGATGATGATGATGATGATGATGATGATAATGATGATGGGTTTTTTTGGGTTTTTTTTCCCCTAATGGGCCTGGTGGACTCCTCGAAGAAATCTTCGAGCGATAGCGAGGCTCTTTTTCGGCTACATTGTCATAAAACGCAGAGACACTTCCACTCTCCAATAAATAGCTCAAATAGAGTTGCCATTGTTTGAAATTCTCCTTTTCATGGTTGTAATTCAGCAACGTGGGTTGAGCTCTTCATTCACAAAATATCTGATACAATCTCATGGTCTAACCGCAGTCTTGCAAGCTCAACTTGGTCCCAGCGACATGCAATTAATTGTCCTTGCTTATTGGAGTACCTAGAATACACATCCTCTAGGTGCTGGCACTCAGCTCTGCACAGTGAATCTCTGATTCCCCTCTTGATCATTGGAAAGTTATTGGAAAGTCACTGTATGTTATTGGTCGTCTGTGTCCTTCATTATCTCTGACTTCATTGGCAGCCTGGTCTAGAATCCACTGGATCTTTACTGTAGCTGTGGTTTCACTGAACTTGCAGCACAAATCCTTTATATCTGAGCTGTTGCCTAACAGTCCCTTGCAGAAGGGCTGATCCAGTCAAGATCAGCACATTGGTTCTGTTGTGGCTATTGTCAACAATCCATTGTGCAGCAGGAATCATTGCCTCGCATTCCTCGTCATAAGATGACGTGAGGAATGCACCTTTATTTCTGATGATGATGATGATGACGAAGCCGACAATGATAGCGATATCGATGATATCAATGGTAGTGACGATAATAATGATAATAATTGTAGCAATAATAATGATAACAATGATGATAATGATAAATATTGATTTCAGTTATAACAACAACAACAACCCCCCCCCCCCCAGGATTCCTGCTCCAAAGCACGATCTAAACACCGTACAATTTATTCTGCAGGACTCGATAACATTTCGAAGCGTTCTCAGTTTCGTGCGACTTAACTCATGTCCGGTTTTAAAAAAACATTCTAACACGCGTAAGTTTTTTAGTCCCATATAATTTACAGGGGACATAAATCAAGATCACCAATTCTCACAGGCTGACATTTATAGCTCTTGTATTTTATCCTCAAGGACAACAATATCTGTGGATGTTCTTTATTCCTTTCGTAAACTGGGTGTTAAATAAACAATAGCTCGATCGATGATGGCAATAAGGAGAACCACACGTGATTCGAGTCCAAGAGCAGAGGTCAATGTTTGTTCTTACTGATTCTTGGGATACGCTGATTGTCTTCTGTTTAAGTAGGCTTTCCCGTTTGAATAGATATTTGCTGTGTCTTACGCTATGTATTGATCAAACGATCAATGCTCACGCAGCGCATGGTTGGCCAGTGCAGTTTTTAGGTTCTACATCTTCATTCTCCCTCTGTTGTTTCAGTCTATTTGCTTTACTTTTTCCAAGCACTAGAAATGATCGTGTCAGTGTGAAGCGTCTCTGTAACTTCCAATGAGCTTGACCAAGCATGCGCCACGTTACAGCCTTCCTGGCAGAAAAGACAAATGTGCATGCATGATAGATCAAAGCCCGACTAATGCTTTACACGAACGTTTTATGACTCCGTTGTTCTGTCCCTTCGACACTAGATCAGGACAGTCTTCAAGTTTTCCAAGCAAGCAGAATGCGAATCAGTTGAAACATTCAAAAATATTTCCTGCTCTGTTTTATTCGACTTGTCGAGCGTAGCTCAAGGTTTTAAATCATGCCAAGTCTAGGATTTAGAACCGCTTCTGTTCTTGACGGACCAGCTTTCCGGAGCCCCC